TTTAAAATACCCCAGTTAGTAAAATGGGAACATATTCCTATATTTTTGCCTCCACAACCGAAATATCAAGGATATCAACTGTTACTCATAAAACCCTTCAATATCGCTGAACCTCCATTCTTTCAAGATTGATAAGAAAACTTCTCTAAAACCTTCATTCTTTTCAAAATGTCCTAATTCCAATGGATCTAGGCGATTTTCTCTGATTGAAAAACTAACTCTCGATCAAATGAGGGTCGTAGATTACAGAAACCACCATGAATCTGTTCATGAAAAATGAGGGTTTTGAGAGGATTTATCTTCTTCAAGGCTTACAAATCATGGAGGCGGTGTTCAAGAGGGGTGTAATTATTTTTTGGAAAAATTTCAGTCACACTCTTTCTAGTTTACTATAACTTTAAAGAAATCTATTTTATTATCAAAAATATCACTGACATCTCTTCTAGTGTGACATTTACTTGTATCAATGTGACATTATCTTGTAACAGTGTGACATTGGCTTGTAGTACTGTGACATATTATGCACCACTGTGTCAATGTGACATGTACCACTATATTAAATTTAAATTTAAAATATTCATGGAAAAAAACACTCACAACAACCAATAATATTATATAAGGTGAAAACATATATTTCTCATAACGGTTTATAAAAAAAATTACATAAATGTAGGGAAGACATGAATAAAAAAAATTATATAAATATAGTGTGACTTTTTGGATGGTAACAATGTGTCATTGCTGGTACCATTGTCATTGATAGGTATTTTTGATTTGAATGATAGAATAATTGATATGGAATGAATGTTTGAATAAACGGTTGTTCAATTATAGATGAATAGGTAATTTAAAATTCCAAAAAAAATATAACATAAAATTAAAAAATTGAATCCCTATATAACTGTCATATTCGTCTTCCATTAATAAAAGAAAATGATAATTTAGTAAGAGAAAAAATTATAATTCAACAAAAGTGTATCTTTTCACCAAATATTTACACATAAAGGTACTTATACACATATATTTTATATTAAGGTATTTTACATAAATAAATATGAAAGTGTGTACTTTTTCACAATTTTCCCATAATTTTATTGTTTCTAATTATTTTATTGTTTTTAAATAATTAATGTGTGAGACTCGAACTCCGAATCCAAATTGTTCCTTACCGGGTGTTGTTAGTCTTATTCCCAATAAAAACAAGCAAGGCCTTTCATAAAAAGAGAATCATTGATGTAAGGTGTATGACCAGTATAAATGGTGGTAATTAAAAAATCAGTGACTTATTCTAAAAACGTTTGGGCCCCACAAGTATTTTTATTTGTATTTGTCACCACAATATCAGCCCACCTCCACATAAATCATAGCATAGCACCTGTATACACCTGTCTCTGCGTGTGGGCATTAAGGCACCTGCGCCGACCAAATTTCAGTTCCATCCAGACGCCACCAAAATCATCTCACAGATAACCTTTTAACAGGCAGCGGTAATTTCTGATATAATAAAAAAAATATAATTTAAAATTAACATAAATTTAGAGAATTAAAGTTAACTATTTCTTGACACAAATACGAATATGACACGATCCGTTAATACGAATAATATATAGGTTGAGTTAGAGTCAAATATGAACAATACGAAATTGACACGATTAACATGTTTAAATAATATTATAAGAATAAAATGTCAAATTTTTTATTATATTTTATCAAATAATGACCTAATTATTGTATAAAAAAATATATTTTTACTCAATTGAAAAAAAAAAGTGAAAATAAAATTCTAGGCATAAAATTGTGTAAAATTTTTTACTTACTTATTATATGAGTCAACACAAACACAACACATAAATAAATTGACACGATATGATACGATTAGTTAAACGGGTTGAATTAAAATTGAGAAATACCCGACATAAACTCATGACATTTAGGGTAAAATCCTTCAAGACTTGTAATGCTTTTACATTGAATTTAGGGTAAAATCTAATTTACCCCTTGTGGTTTGAGCCTTTAGTACATGACCCCTTATGATTTGGAATCAACATCTAAAACCCTACTTTTGGACTAAACTACACATTTGACTCCATTAACAACTATTGTAAAATTACATCAACACCATCATATATATACATTTCAATTTTCCAGAGATGGCACAAACGCACGATCTTAAAACTACTACAAAGAGAAATTTAGGCAAAAAACTAGGTTCGATTTTGAATACAAATCAAAGTTAGGTCTTCGATTTATTAGTTGGGGGGGGGGGGGGGG